GACGTAAGCAACTCAGTTTTAATTTTTTACGAAACAATTTAACTTTATTTAGAACATTTTAAATCAGTATTTTAATTATAGCTTATAAAATGTATTTATTATAAAAAATAAAAATAAAAAAAATATTTCAAAACATTCTGTAGTTATTTATTTAATTATTTATTTTTTAATAAAGGAAAAAAAATTGAAAAAAATAATAAACCTACTTGCATGGTAAACTACTACTATAATAATACTCATCCTCTTAAATTTTTAGATAAATGGGATAAAAATTGTTAGTAGTTATTGGTAAATAAAACTGGAGAGAGGGATACTAAAAGTAGATAAAAATTGATTGTGAAAATCCCATTAAGTTTTATTTCATAAATTTAGCTCATCTCTAATGCTATAACTGGGGGCATATGCTCTTTCTTGTTCAGCACTAGTTATGCCAATAAATACAAGTAAAAGGTATATCGGTTAATACCGTCTGCTTTGAAACATCAAATACAATAGATTGTGAGAACTATGCAAAACTATCATTTAATTTAATGCAAGAATTAAATAAAGCTATTAAATTGTCATTTTTCCAATTTTTTCTGGGTACATAATTATATAAAATCTATGTATGTATTTGTGTGTAGATTATATTAAGCATTTATAATTACATTAAATCTATAAATATTTTATATAAATATGTATAAAAATCGTCATTGTTGTAAAAAATTGTTTTTTCTTTTCCCTTTTAATGCAAAGTGACTATTTTTTCAATATTTTTTTTTTTTATTGTATGTAAAAATAAAACTTTTTTGCATCCTTTTTTTTTTAAAAAAAAAAGAAAGAAATATTTAGCAGTTTATTTATTCCAGGATTTTTTTAAAATTACTAAATTTAAGGTAATATTGCTTAAATATGAGTTTTATTTACATTGTTGTTAATATATATTGCACAGTTAAAATTAAAATGAGTGATTTTTCGGCAAAATTTTTTTACAAGATGGAAAATTTTATAAAATCCATTGATAAACCATATTACAACAATAAATAGAAGACAATTTAAATTCAAAGAAGCTGATAAATTGAAAAATAATATTTATCGCAGTGATTCTCAACCACTGTGCGTGTGTGTACATGTATGGAAAGGAAAGTTAATCATTAAAGTAAGCTGTGCAATACATAGTTATAAAAACAAATTAACAATAGATAACTAACAAAAAATAAGCTAACAAATAATAATTAGCAAAACACTAGTTAACATGAAATCACAAAAAAATAAGAATTAATGTAAAAAAAACTAACAGATAATAACTTTAGAAAACAAGCTAACAATTAATCTCTTAATAAACGTGCTTTTGTAGTACATATTATTTTATTTCACATTCAAAATTATTATCACAAACTATTTAACATAGTGTATTATAGGTAAGTAAACAACTTTTAAACTAATTTTTTTTCATTGTGTGCCGTCAAATTTCGAAATCGTTAAAAGTGTGCCACCACAAAAAAAAAGGTTGAGAATCCATGGTTTATAGTATTAAGATTAAAATAATTTTCAGTCATTATAAATGGAAGACCATTTAAATTTAAAGATGCTATTCAAGTGAAAAATATTGTTTATAGTATTCAAATTAAAGTAATTTTCAGACATTATAATGGTTACCATTAACCTATATTTATGTCCAACTTGAAAAATTGCATCTGACATGAAAGTAAAAAAAGTTCAAATTAATTATATATCATATTTTAGTTAAGAACTGCAAAGAACTTTTTATTTAAATATCAGCTTCAAAATTTAGTCAAGATTACATTTAAATTACAAACAAATTCACAGAGTTTAGACAATTTGTAAATGAGTAATAATTTTTTGCTTTCTTGCAATTTACATCTAACACCAACAATTTAATTTGAACTTATTGCTATTAGTTTCTATAAAAGAAATTGTTTTTTGATAGGTTATGATGTACTAACTTAATATAAAAATTTGATGATTATAAGCCTATGTTTTATAAGATAGTTCTAAGAAATTTACTTTAATTTTTTTACGTCTGGCACCATGGAATTGCTCAGTTGTAAAAACAATTAACTAATCTAAACTAAGAAACCATGTAGTTAGCGAATTCTTTAAATATTCTAATTTCTAATGAGAAAAAAATAATGAAATTTAAAGAATTTTATATAGTTTTTTTCTGTAGAATATGCAACAAGAAATTTGACAGTTTTGCCTTTGTGAATACTGAATGTCTCCTAAAATAATAATTTGACTTTAGATATTGGTTTAAAGAAAATTATATCAATGAATTTTATAAAGAGCACTATTTGGATGAAATACAGTATAAAATGGCTCTATATTGAAATGTAAATAAGTGTGAAAATTTATTTGTGCATAATCAGCTGGAATTATTTGCCTTTGCATAAGGAAAATATATTAAACAGTACTTATCCAAGATTTATTTTGGTTTACTCTGTATTTGCTATTTGGTACATTTTGTGCTTAAACTAATTAACACTTTAAAAAAAAAATTATTCTACAAACTAAATATGTTATTTTCTCCACATCTATTCAAGTTATTACATCTATTCGGTTAAAAAATGAAAAAAAAATTAAAATGAAGCTTTTTTTTTAAAAGTCTTTTAATTGGCCAAAATTCTTTCTTTTCCAACATAAAATTGCCAGTAATAAAATAAAAAAACATACATTTTGTTACCATTTTGAGTATAAAAATAAAATATTTCGGAAAATCCAGAAGAATCGACAGCTGTGTGATTTACTTGCTTTGTGTCAACTATTATGATTCTTATGTACGATAGAAATCGCCAATGTTATGCTTTAATATATTACTCTGGGTTTCAAAAATTTAATCTAAAATAATTTTAACTACTGCAACATAAGGAATTTAAAAAGCATATCTAGGAACTCTGAAAATTATGTGTGACAAAATTTTAAACAAAAATTTCAATAACTTTTCTATGAAAAATCTTTGCCTTTGTACATATTCACTGTTTGTGAAACAATCTTGTTTAGATATAGTTTGTCTACAGTAAGAACTCCCCCCGCCACAAAGTTTGAGATCCTCTGCTGCTATGGAAACAAGAAAAGCTCATTTCAGGGAGGGTAGCTTCTTTTCACTCTAGGGCAAACACAGTAGACTGAAGAAAAAGATTCCCTTTCTCTTGCTGATCAGACCCAAAACAGTGACCCCACACCCCTATTTGAAATAGTTATACTTCGTTACCATAGTAACTGCCATGGGTCCAGGCAAATGGTTAGGGGAGTGTTTACTTTAGACAAACTGTATTTATTGTGTAAGAATTTAATACAATTTTTTTTCTGTGATGTCTTTTATTGTAATAAATGTTTAAAATCTGGTTAGGAAGCTTTTTAAAATTTTGTAGCTGTTTTTTTTTCTTCCACCAATGATGTGTGTGTGAATACTCAGAGAATTTTTATCTGGAGTATTAAACCTGTGTGGATAAAACAAGTCTTTTGGTGCAGGAGAACTGCTAGCTGAAGGGAGAAAATGAATCTAAACTCAATGTCAATTATTTTCAAGCACCTTCTTCTTTTAAACTTTTTCAATAAGAGCACATTTCGAGTGTTAAAATGGATCCTTCAAAATCATATATAAAAATAGTTTTTTGTTCCAGTGTTATTTAAAACAAATATTACCCATTGGCAAAATGGGTGTTGTTTTGGGTTTGATGGCGTGCGCACCTTATTTGAACATCATCACGCTTTTCAACTGTGTTCAAGAGTAATAGTAAACAGTGCGCATACACCGTCATTGCATGCATTATGGGGACTGCTGCAGTTTTATAATTTTTTTAGAATTCTTTTTTTTCACTTTCAATTTTGTTATACATTAAGCTGGTGAGTTTATTTTTAAGATATGGGACTAGAGAGATTCCATAAATACTTCTTGATTTTTTTTAAATTTTTTTTTAATATAAATTGATTAATTTTTATCTGAAACATATTTTTGTAAGTACTATAGCAAGAATAATTGTTTTTTCTTCTTATCATGGACATTTTGCATTATGTGACAAAATTTGACTAATTTTTGATTTTTAACAAAAATTTGAGGCACAATTTTTTTGTAATATACATAGATGTTAATAGATTAGGAACAAGTAATGGTATGGAAATTTTAAGGAAATCTGCTAATCGAATAAAATCCCATCACTTTGTACAAATTATTATTTACTTAAGGTTGATTTTTGAAGACTTCATTGCCGTATGCTTTTCAGTGTATATAACTGTTGTGAATGGATAATATTCGCTGTTTTATCCGTCTGCACTTATGATAATTTCTCAAAATGTCCGTATGAAGAAAAAGCTTGGAATTAAAAATTGAAAGTTTGAGAAATTATTCCAGCTTTACTACATTTGGACTTTTTAACGCTAGAAAGATTGAAACTTAGTATATATACCTATATTGCCCAAAGGCAGTCAAAATGACTACATTGTGAAAGGATGACTAATGTGTAACGAAATTTGCTTAAAATAAATTTTTAATATTTTTTTTATTATTAACAGTTATATAACAAGTTATTAGTAAATATTAACAATAAAAAAATTTGAAAGAAAATAGTAATTTATGCATTATTATCTGTAAATTTTTTGCAAATGAAAAAGCAGTTAAAAAGCAGTCAATATGACTTCCGTTAGGCAACCAAGTGTTAAAAAAAGTGCAAAAATTGAGTATTTATGCATTATTATTTGTACATTTTTTGCAAATGAAAAAGCAATTAAAAAGCATTCAGAATGACTTCCTTTAGGCAACCTAGTGTTAAAAAAAGTGTAAAAATTGAGAATTAATTTTTTAGTTTAAATGATTTTTATCTAGCATCAAAAATCTTGTCACAGTGGTGACTTTTTTTTAATGGTCTCATAATTTCTTAAATGCTGAAGCAATTTTTCTATTTTTGGGCACAAACAACTTTTTTTCAGAAAAATAAAATAAGTACAGTTTTAAATTAAAACCTTGCCTTGTCAAAACTTATAAGATGTTTATTTGATTATAGGTTATTGGGTCATAATTGTTTTACTTTTTATCGCCATTGTTGTGATTGCTGTGATACCCTCTTAGTGGACAGGTGAGTTTATCTGATTCTCACTTTTATGCATTTATTTTTTTATGTATATACACTGGGGTAAGAAATTAAGAGAGTTTGCAAACTTGGTAGATTATCATTAGAACTACTGGAGTGATTTTAATGATCTGTACATACATTGATACAGTACAAAACAAATAACAATTGTAATACACATGCATGATCGTGTGTACCACTCGTTGGTGTCGGAAGGTATGAAATTGTCGCAGGACAATTGTCATGATAAATTGCCTGTATATCTGTAAGAGGGGACCATACCCTCTATTAACTCTATTTTTTTTTGTTTATTCGGCAACCGCTGTTTCATACCTTCCAACTCCAACCAGTGTTACACACGATCATGCATGTGTATTACAATTATTATTTGTTTTCTATTGTATCAATGTATGTACAGTCCAGTAGTTCTAGAGACTAAGTCTGCAAATTCTCTTAATTTGTTACACCAGTGTATTTTATTGTACTAGACAGGCTTTAATTTCATTCAAACTATAAGAATATGTTATAGTATGTTTATGACAGTAGTTATTGTCAATTTGTTATTGAATATTGCATGTTTTGATGTTTGTTTACCTTAAAGACCTGTTATCCGGTAAAATTTATTTTCTGCATTTGCAGAATTCCTAACAATTCCAGATATGCTGTATTCATTTTTTTTATGTACATGCATTCTTTTGCTACCTAATCATGGTTACATAATTTAGTCTCGCTATTTGATTAGCAAATTTAATATTGTTTCATAATTTTGTTTATGTGTAGCAGACAGTTTCGAGAAATGAAGTTCAATTAAATATCGAGTCTTTCTGACTCCAGTGTCGCTAGGGTACTTGATTAATCATACCTGCCAAGTCTCCTGTTTTTTTACGATTATCTCCTGTTTATCTGAATATTCTCACATTTCTTCATGCTTGTTGAAGAAATTTTTTAAAAAAATTATAATAAGGGGTTAAAATATCCACTGATGGCAAAAAACAATGGTGGTAATACCAGTATTGAATTATTTAAGTCAAGCCATGATGGCTCATTGAATACGGTGTTTGCATTCTGCATCCAGCTTGCACCGACCACAGTGCTGTCTGGAAATATCCTCAGTGGTAGACAGATCACCGGTTAGAGTCCCCTTCTCATCAGACTAACTGTGGGAAGTTTTTGTGGTTTTCCTCTCCGCGTAACTCAAATGCGGGTTAGTTCTATGAAATAGTCCTCCACAAAGGCAAATGTCTTCCGATACTTGATCCAGGAGTTCCCTTGTCTTCTGGATTGGGTTCAAAATTACAAGGCTATGGAAGTTGAATACTAGTAGTTGTAAACCCAAAATTTGGTCAATTATTAAAATCTCCATTATTTTATTTCTCTAATGTTGTCTGGATCTGTTGCACAAATAAATTGATGAATGGGCGGTCCCAGAGATTCAATTTGTCCCAGGAGTATGATGTCACATTGTTCTGTTGTTAGATGTCACCATACTCAGGAAAAACAATTTGCATATATCTATCCTGCCTTCCACACCCCGAGAATGCTACATAAACATACAGCTTGTATCCTTCTGGCAATTGTTTCTGAGTTATTTTTTTTTTGTGGACCTTTTTATGCCATCAAGGTTGCCACTCCACAGGGAGAACAGGGGAAAACCTGGAAAATACAGCGAATTTAAAAATCATTTAAAATAACAGGGAAAATGCAGAAAATTTTGATTTTTTTTTCTTTACAAAGTGGGAAAATACAGGTAATTTTGTTTCTTATTTCTGTCTTGATATTTCACCATGATATTTCAGCTATACTAAACTATTTCATATTTTGTATTGCATCATTTAAGTATGTTCAGCTGTTTTTTTCAGCAATTAAAACTAATACATATAGTTAGCCCTATACAGCTCATACAAGAGCGCAGTTATTGTGTGTTTCCTCTTAATATATTGTGTATAATATGTGCAGGGAATTTCTTTTTCCAGATCTGAGTGTCAACCCTGGCCATATACGTATTTTGTATTTGTAAAAATTATGTCAATAGTCCAAATTATTTACCTTACCAGAAATTTGAATTGAGATCAGATTGAGAAACATGGCTCTAGAAATTAAGAGTTCTTGCCCTGATTGCATTCAAATTGTACAACTAGAAATAGACATTCTAGCCCAAAAGGGGTTGATCCTCATACTAAATTTCTATTTGGCTAAGTATGATGTTGCTTCAACGGAGACCCGTGCTTAAATCGAACGAACATAAAGCCTGGCATTCAAGCTTTAACTGAAATCCCACAAGGCTGTCATTGAAGAGGTAAAAATAAACAAATTCAGTTTAAATTTTTTTTTCCTTAAATTTTAGTTGTTCATTTTATCAATTCTTCTAGATTGCATTCAAAAATTTAATTAAAAGCAATGTATTCTTGTTTTGATTATTTTGCTTCAAATATCACGTTTTTTTTTAAAAAAAAAAAATTAAAAAGGTACAGAAAAAATTTTTAAATTTTGAAAGTGACTGGTTAAAATTGCCACATTATTTGCATTTTATTTTGAATTAAAATCAGATATAATTTATTAATGCTCACTAGCAACAATCTATGTTTTTTTTTCTTCTTTTGAGCGAAAAGGATAAGTAATGCACGTCAGACAACCCTTAAAGGGAAGTGATATACCACAAGAGTTTGGGAACCACTAAAGTCAGTTCCCTTTCCTCCAAAGAGAAAGACAATTTAACTTTTATCTCCAATGGCTACTAACTTATTCTATTGTGTTTTGTTGTATAGAAAATATATGATAATATATATCTGTTAGTGCAAACAGCTTTTGATTTTTTTTATTACTTTTAACTGTAGATTAACTTCGATAAGCTATCTACATGGTGCATAGCGTTTTTAGAAAGTGTTTAAAGGTACATATTTTCGTTTTTTAAAAGCCCTTAAGGGTGCTTTTTTTTATTAAGTGTTATTAAAAAGTGCTTAGTTTTTCCTTTTCGAAAATTAGATTTTTTTCTTTACCATGTCAATTTTCACCACTTATTATACAACATTCTTTTCACATTGTTCTATTCAACGTTTTAACAATTAAATTTTCCGCAATTCATTTTGGCTTACATTCCATCCGTAGCGTTTAAAAGCGCCTATCATTTTACATGTTTGATAAAATCCTTTGGACTCCGCAGGTGCGTCTACTGAGCTGGGTTCAGTGAAATTATAGCACTTTTATGTGCAACTCTGCTGCATTTTGCAAGATATTCTGCATTTCAGGCTTCATTTTCCTCCCTCTGATATCGAACCTAAAAATCTCTCGATCATTTTATAACGGCTAATATAATCAAGAAAAGAGTTCTTTGTCAGAAACTAGTTATTTTATCATGATCGTGTAAAGTCTTTGAAAATTATTTTGCATTTTGATAATGTATATAGCAGGGCTCGAAAAACCACCCGTCCTCAGCTGTCAAAAATTCCCAGAGGACAACAAATTTCTCGATTCCGACTTCCGCATGGATGGCCATTTTCCCATTAATGTTCGTGATGCATTTTCAATTTTTGTTATCTTACAATCTTTTTTGAAGGAGTAGATAAAGAAAATTTTTCTCAAGAATGGATGTCATTAAAATTTAAGATACATAACATCGTTAAAGACCAGAAAACTTTAGCCCTCAGAACCCAAGCTATTTATAAAGACCTAATGCTGCAAAATACGTCATATTTGTTTCGTTTAAAAAAACGCAGTAACCTCGGATAAATTGACATTCCAGATAACTTGACATTTGTCATTTAAATTATTTCATAAAAGAAATACTAGGTTACTATTAGTAACCCAGTATTTCTTTTATTATTGTGTAATGTAATCCTAGTAACTACTAATTCGTTGCGCAATTTATATATATGTTTGTAATAAATAAGAGAAAATTATATTTTTATTTATTTAGAAGCTACGGGTTAGTTTCAAAGGAGGACGGGTACATTGTTGGACAAGCCGTCCTCGGGGACGGGTAAAATTTCTGAGTTCTTTCGAGCCCTGGTATATAGTGCTTAAAATATTTTTTGAGTGCTTAAAAAGTACTTAAAAGGTGCTTATTTTTTGTTGAAAGATTTGGCTATGCACCCTGTATCTAGTTGTTACAGAACTATCCTTGTTCTCAAATTCCACTGAAATATATTCAATTTGCAAACTTAATTTTAGGTCTTGCGTCGTAAATATAGTAAGAAGCTTGAACCGAGCCAAGAACCAATGAGTCATCTTACCAGGTCTTGATTCAGCTTAAAAGAAAATGTTAATATTTACAAACTTTTGTATACAGATATATTTTTATTTTATCAATAAATATTTCACATAATGCTATATTTAAATGTCATGTCAATTAAAATAGTGAACTGTTTCTTAGAGCTCACTTCAGAGACAAACAACATACTTTTTCTCCTGGAAATTATGAACTGTATTTTCAAGAAATTTTAAAAGGATTAGATTGCAATTGTCAAATAAATATTAATGTCTCATTATAAATGTGATTTTTTAGGAATCATATGTTATATAAAAAAAAAATATATAACTATACAAGAGAGTGCTCACAGATATTTTCATAAGGAAGTGCAAGAGAGGACTAGGACTAGTAAAGTCTAGAAATATTCAAGAAAAAAAAACTTGGTAGTTTAAAAAAATATGCATGTCTGTATCCGAAATTTTGCAAACAATTTTAATAATTTAATAAAAGCAAAAAAAATCATGCTTTATTAATTCATTTACATTCTTTTTTTTTTTAACTAAAAATAATATGAACAATATATATCTATACTAAACTAAACTCAGTAGCGCGACAGCCTATAGAGGGCCAAGGCCTACTTTGCCAATCTCAGTTTTTTTGGGCTCTGGGGTGCAGGAGTAGATGTTCCGGTCAGGTGGTCAGCCGAACGCGGAATCCCCAGTGTTTAGTTCCCAAGCATGCTTGGTACTCATTTATCGACCCACTGAAGGGAGGAGTCAATCTTGCCTGGCCCGAGGATCAAACCCAGGACCTGTGGCACGGGAGCGCGAAGCTCTACCACTTAGCTGCGCATTAGTCGTAAGTATATGGAACTCATAAAACAAGTTAAAATATTGAGAAAATATAGAAAATAATAAAGATTAACAACAAGAGGAGAAGAAAATTATTAAAATAAAATTATTTTTAAAAAATATTTTTTTTTATTAATCTAAGAAAAACTTATTAAAAATCCGGAAAACAAAATAAAGAAAAGATATAATCGCTTCATCAGCTCACATTAATATATCCTCAAAAAAGAGTGCTTTCTAATATTGTATCAATAAAACCAAAGCAAAATATATAAATACAATAGTGTGGGGAGCACTGAAAAGTAAACAAATTTTTTTGAGTGCTCCTCACACTATTATGTTGATATATTTTGCTTTGGCTATATTGATACAATATCAGAAAGCACTCTTTTTTGAGGATATAATAATGTGAGCTGATGAAGCGATTATATCTTTTCTTTATTTTGTTTTCCGGATTTATAATTTTTTTTTAGCTAAATAAAAAAAATTTTGATAATTTTATTTTAATAATTTTTCTTCTACTTAATTTTACTTCTACTTCTTAATCTTTATTATTTTCCTTTTTTTTCTCAATATTTTTTTAATAAATATCTCTGGTGAGTGTGTGGATATGTTGTGTTATCTTTTATTGAGTTACTGGAGTTAGGTGAGTAACTGAGATAACCTTTGGATAAAATCAAAAGAAATGAATGAGTGCAAGCTTTTTTTTTTTTAAAAGCGTCATTGAACAGACGACTCGATTTTGAGTTTACAGCTACTAATGTTCACATGGCCTTGTCATTTAGAACGTGATCCAGAATGCAAGGGAACTCCTGGATCAAGTAATGGGTGAAATTTCCCATAATGGAGGTTTTTTAGATTGAGCTAACCCGCATTTGCGTCACATGGAGCTACAAACATCCCACGGTGACGTCAAAGAGACTCCGCCTAACACTGAGAATATTTTATGTCAGCCCTGTGGTCGGTGCAAGCGGGATTCCAAACCGGTTCACCTCATTGGAAGACAACGCTCAATCCCCTGAGCCATCAGGGCTCTAGTGCAAGCTATTTTATATCCGTCGTTGAACAGTCGACCCAATTTCGGGTTTACGACTGTATTTATGTTCAACTCCGTAGCCTTGAAATTTTGAACCAATCCAAAAGACAAGGAAACTCCCAGAGGTTTTGATTTGTTATGGTAACATGGAGGACTTTGCGACTCGACAGATTTTACATGCATCAGTCACACAGGGAGTCTTCGCCCGGCCTGGGATTGAACCTACGAACTCTTGGATATGGGCCCGGTGCCCTACCAATGCAGGGCTAAAGAGAATAGAAGGGCTAGTTCACTCCGCTCTTAGAGCTGAAGCTACGATCGCTCTTAACCTAAAAGATAAAAAGAAACATTCATTTTTATTAAATGGATGTCCAATATATATTTTTTTTATTAATAAAAGTAGAGAGAACGAAACAAACGTTAAAGTTTATATCGGCGGTAAATTGATAATGACTTTAATACGAGATATGTGTTTTTTCTTATTTCGAGTTAATTGTCTCGAATATTCTGAATTACATCAGAAAAAAATTGAAAGTCAATTATTCCCCCTTGTAATTGTGTTCATTTATATTCAGGCAAATTAATTAATTTTTTTCCTACAACATTTAAAAAAAGACAAACAATGAAGGAAATGCAAAAAAAAAATGAACAAGAATTCTATCTTNCATTAATTGTTGGGAACACGCGGAAGCTTATATTTTTTCCTTTTGTTTTTCTATCAAAATTTTTTCAAGTTGCAATCGCACAAACTGGCTTTTTGATAATAGTTTTAAATTCTTGTAAATTCACTGCAAAAACTGAGGAAAGTCATTATAGAAAATAACAAATGCCTTAGAATATCTCGCAAAAAGAAATGCTCCAATATTATTTAGAGCTAGTAAGGCCAAACACTCGGTTCTTGAAGTAAAAGTGCGAGCTTTGCGCCAAAGTGACGTCACTAGAGAAAATCGGAGGATTGGCGCGGCAAGAGCTACTTCAAAGGAGTGAACCAGCCCTTCTATTCTCTTTAGCCCTGCTACCAATGAGGCTATCCCGGCCTAGTGAAATCTTTTGTAGTGAATGGAGGAAAATAGGCAAGCGAAAAAGAAAAATTCAATGAAACTAACTACATATATCTATCAAGCAAACTAAAAACATGCCTTAAAAGAGGAAGTAATTAATTTTGATTTAAAATTATGTCCAGTGTTGGCAAGTTTTTGACTATGATGGTTTTATCCGGTTTTAACCTTAGTTTTATCTGTCATGCAAAAAAAAACCTTTTTTAAAATTGTCAAAAATCGAAAATTTTGTTGTAAGGATTATCTATTACTAGGAGGCTTCCCCCCTGATCGCTGGCGCTCGCCAACCCCCGGAACTGCTTTCGCAGTTCATTTCGGATTGCATCGCAATCCGATGCTCACTTTGCTCGCGCATTTGATACGTTCCTAACGTCTAGCTTTTGTATACTTTTTTGAACACTGAAGTTCCGAAAACTTTAACTATAGAAAATTCTAAACCTGTGCATTTCAATATTAATTTGAAATTGCAAACACTTCACATATTTTTCTTAATCACACTATTCTAAATTTCAGTTGTTGAGAAAAGTAACTTTTGTAAGTTTTGTTTTAAAGTCTTTCCCACCAGAGGGCTGAAACCATGTGTTGTAAAACAATATGAAATAGTACTGAACGCCGGATGTAAAGCATCGGCTTCGATGAAGATAATTTTGTGAGAATTTTTTTGATATGAGAATTCACCCGATTAGACATATGATATGCTTACTATGTGCTCTTGCGCGCCGAAGCCTATCAATTAAAACGTATTAACGTTTTATATAATGTAGATTAGCCATATAATGCTCACTACGTGCTCTTGCGCGCCGAAGCCTATAAATTAAAAATGAAAACCGTTGCCAACGCGAGAAACGAAATATCGGTTTTATTGATACATACGTACGTATTAGCGTTTTATATAATACTAGGAGGCTTCGCCCCCTGCTCGCTGGCGCTCGCCAACCTCCGAAACTGCTTTCGCAGTTCATTTCGGATTGCTTCGCAATCCGATGCTCGCTTTGCTCTCTCATTGGATACGTTCCTAACATCTAGCTTTTGTATACTTTTTTGAACACTGAAGTTCCGAAAACTTTAACTATAGAAAATTCTAAACCTGTGCATTTCAATATTAATTTGAAATTGCAAACCGTTCACAAATTTTTCTTAATTGTACTCAGGGGCGGATCTACTTAAGGGCTTTTTGGGCTGCAGCCCAGGGCCCCGTGGATACAAAGGGCCCCAGTCCCCACTGAAAACAATAGGTGATATTTTGAATTAAAAAAATATCTAATATTAAAAAATATATATATTATAAGGTTGGCAACCCTGAGATCAATCAACCCATGCATGTGCGCGTCTTTCGAACGGAACGGGGAATTACCCGTCGCTTGTTTTTGGTCAGTGTATTTTTTCGCGTCTATTATGAGGGACTTCCCGCAGCG